TATATATATAAATTGATAGCTCCTGGTGACACCAGGTAATTCTGTTTATGCATTTTCATGATTCACACATCTCTCCCAGACAACACAGCCAGAAAGGTGACACCATCTTGTGTGTTAACGTTTAGGGTGACAATGGTGTCCTGTCCCCATCTGCAGCCTGCTGGCTGGCCAATGAAGAAGCAGAACTACACTGATAAATCGTCCCCTCCAGTCAGCATGTTCCCTGTCATCATATGCATAAGCAAATGATTGGTTTAGGAGGCCCTCTCATCCTTTCCCGGTCTGAGTTTTGCCACGCAGGGGATGAGAGGAGCCTACTTGTACTAGTTGTATGTAAAAAAAAATGCATCTACTCCTTTTTAAAGAATCGAGAACTGCATCAATGTTTTAACTCTGCCTGAAATGTGGCTTTAATGGTAAACGTTTCTTTCTTATACACTAGTTTTATAATTCTATATATTGTATGCTTTTTAGCTCAGTTATTCCATTTTTGGGAATAAACTGGGTTCCCAAAGCAAATCTATCTAGGACACCCCGTCTTATTTATAGTGCACAAGTCCAACACAACTGTATAATCATTTTAAGATTTAACAAATGACATTTTTAACCATGTCTTTTATTTAGGTAAATATAAAATATTTCACATGAATTAGGGATGCAACCAACTAATCGATTTAATGTACAATTAGAATAGTTGGCAACTATTCTCATTATTGACTAGTTGTTTGGACCCCCTAGCTCTCTCCTCCACGCTGGGAGGAGGGCACAGCAAGCAGTGGACGGGTGCAATACCCAACCTGCTATTGCAATCTGAAATGGCAAATAGCAGGCTGGCTATTGCACCCGCCCACTACCTGCTGTATTTACATTCAGCTTCCCTCTGCAGAATCTTGCCACTGGCAGCTGTCATTCCCGGGCTGAAGCTATTCAAGTGCCATGTGCTTACAATACAATTATTTTTAAAAAATGGTTCTCCTACCTATTTAAGGGCTCCTTTTTAGTGTCACCTACAAATCTAGATCCTCTTCCTCTTTCTGTAGGAGTCCCCCAAGGCTCGGTCCTTGGACCCCTTCTCTTTATCTACACCACCTCTCTTGGTCAGTTAATAACCTCACATGGCTTCCAATACCATCTCTATGCCGATGACACAAATATATTTTTCTACTCCACAACTCGCCAACTCCGTGTCCTTGCGTGTCACTAATCTACTAACTGACATATCCGTCTGGATAGAACAACTCTTAAAACTCAACCTTTCAAAAACTGAACTCATGATATTTCCTCCACCCCCGTGCACCTTCCCCCAACTTTTCCCTTGAGATTGGTAAAACAATCATCCATCCCTCCCATCGTGTTAAGGTCCTAGGTGTCATCCTTTAGTTGAACCTCACCTTTCTGCCCCACATCCAATCACTATCCAAATTCTGCCGCCTTCACCTCTGTAACATCTCCAAAATACACCCCTTCCTCACCAATGACACCTCAAAACTACTCATCCACTCTCTTGTTATCTCTCGTCTTGACTATTGTCTATCGTGAATGCCGCTGCTAGACTCATTCACCTAACCAACCGCTCAGTGTCTGCAACCCCCCTCTGCCAATCCCTCAACTGGCTTCCTATAGCCCAAAAGATAAAATTCAAAATATTAACAACAACTTGTAAAGCCATCCACAACTCTGCCGCCGGCTATATCTCAAACCTTGTCTCAAAGTGTCACCCTAACTGTCCCCTCAGCTCTTCCGAAGCCCTCCTGCTTTCCAGCTCCCTCGTCAACTCCTCCTATGCTCACCTCCAGGACCTCTAGAGTCTCTCCCATCCTCAAACTCTTTACCCCAACCTGTCCATCTATCTCCCACTCTGACTGACTTTAGGCGATCCCTTAAGACTCATCTCTTCAGGGAAGCCCATCCCTGCTCAACCTAACCACTGAACCTTCACATTCTCACATAATTCATCCCCACACAGCTACCTCCTCATGTATCACTTCCCCCTCCCTTTTAGATTGTAAGCCCTCACGGGCAGGGCCCTCCTTACCATCTTGTCTTGAATTGTATTGTGATTGTAATGTCTTCCTTATATTGTAAAGCGATGCGCATACTGACGGCGCTATATAAATCCTGTATTGTACTATAATAGTAATATACGATCATTGCGCTATGGGAAATGGAAGAAAATGTGAGTTGTGTTTCTACCCAACCGCATATCTGTACTTGGTTATGTTCCTATAGAGAAGCAACTAACACTTCTGCTAACATACATGTCTATGGTTCAGTCCTTCACGCCATACCGGACATCACAGAGGCCTATAGTGACCTGTGTTCAAGTTGGGTCTCACATCCACGTAGGTGGACGTGTTGCAGTGTGCAGTGATGACCTTTTTCTGTCTGGTGCATGCTATTTCTAGCTATGTGTTGCTCTTTCCCCTTCTGAACTACAGTAATGCATTCCTGAATATTAGTTAGAGCCCAACTCCAGCCACATTAAAGAGAAACAAAATTGCCTGCCCCTCCAGTGCAAATACAAGCAATAGCTTTCTCATGAAAGGTGTTAGGCTAGCCCAGAGTAATGCTCTCCTTTCTCCACCATCCCACAATCTTCCTTACCACTGGTTCTGGTATCGGGTCCACCAAAACCATCTTCAGGACAGTTTCTGATAGGTCTTGTTGCTGACACCATTATGACTGCACTGTAATCAATGTAGGACCAGCAACCACATCATCTGGATGGGACATGGCAGCTAGTAGAGTGCCTGCCCAGATTGCAGTGCTGGAGAGTGGTGTTTCTGAGGCCAACAAGGAGCAGGATGAGGATTACTCTGTGCTAGCCCGCCACTTTGCAAAAACAAGCAATAGGTTCTTTTTGAACGGAGGAGAGAGAACTTGTTTTAATATGGACCTAGGTGGACTTTTAAGCATTTCTCTACTGTTTTATTTGCTAGATGAAGGACTTCTCCAAACTGGCGTGGCGTGAGTTTTTCCCACCGTATGTCGTCAGATAACTGATATCACCGAACCTATTCCACAATCCAACCCAACAGCAGCTTTTCAGTCTTTTCTTTGCATGTGTGCAGTGGGAAGGATAATTCCCCTTTTTATATGGTAATAGGGGGTGATCATCAGTTCCTGGTGGTTAAACAGAATCTGTCAGGATCAGGAAATACGAACTGCCATTGCTGACTTGTTCCCAAAGGTGAAAGCTCCAGAGCTGTTATCCTGTCCTTTTTTTAATACTAGTGAGACCCTCGCACTAATACAAATTAAGCATGCAGGCAGTGCAGTGTCAGGCCTGGTTAACCATCGCAGAGCGTGCATCTTCAAAAGCAAATTTACAACAATGGCACCCATATTTGTGTCCTGAACGCTTCCCTTTAATTATGACAGTATAGAGAAATCCGTGTGTGTGCCCCCCCAGTGTGTGTGTGTGTGTCATTGGCCTCTCGCTTCAACGATTTTCAGGCTCAATTACCAGTATCTAAGTGTATGTTATACATAGGCTGAAACTGACTTTTTTCGCTTTCTGGTCGCAGTTACGTTTAGTGGAGCTGCATCGTCTATGGGAACTCTTACTGATGAAGATGCAAGAGAAAGGAATCAAACTGCAGCAGGCCCAAAAACTGGTCCAGTACCTGCGGGAATGTGAGGATGTTCTGGATTGGATCAATGACAAGGTAGGCTGCTGCACCATTTTATTACACATACTATGCAACTAGTCAGGCAATGAGATGGATTGTCCATCATGGAAATAAAGGGCAACCGCTCCAGGTAAATGGCTAAAGATATAGGTGATCTACACGTGGAATGGTTTTATTTCAAAAACATTTGTAAGGGCCTGTTTAAAAGAGAACTATGGGATAAGTGTTTTTCCCCATAGTTCTCCTAAGGGTCACGGGAGGACATAAACTAGCGTCCTCCCGTCACCCAAAGCTCAGTATATGGCGAGCTACAGCTCGCGGTATACTGAGACTGCCGCAGCCGGGACGGATCCCGACATTACTGTCGAGATCCACCCAGCTGCGTGAGTGACAGCTGGCTCTGCCTATCTAGAGGCAGCTGTACCTGCCCTCTCCCCCGTCCATTCCGCTAGTCAGCGCTGGAGGATCTGAAGGGGGAGGGGGGAATCTCTGCAGGGAGCCTTGAGTGACAGCCACAGCTCTCTGCAGGGAGATCGAGAAGTGAGCGCGGTATGTGTTCGCTCACTTCCCGATCTATTGAGCCGACGTTTGACCGTTTCATTGTCACACGTCGGCTCGAACTATGAGGTTGAATGAAAATCACTCACCTCATAGTTCTCCTTTTTAATGGAAAATTGTCCAGAAATATCATATCTGGTTAAAAGCTTTTGTAGAATGTCAAAATCCATTATTTCAGGCCTCGGCAATAAAATGTCTACGTACCCTACACAGAAATTCAAATGCAAAACCTGTACAAGATGACTGCTTTGTATCATGGGTTAGGCAGTAGGTCTTTAGATTTGTGGACTGAATCACATTTTTTTTTTTTTTCATTTTATGTAAAAATGATTTGTTTTTAGGAAGCCATTGTGACATCAGAGGAGCTGGGGCAAGATCTGGAGCATGTGGAAGTCTTGCAGAAGAAGTTTGAAGAGTTCCAAACGGACTTGGCAGCCCACGAGGAGAGAGTGAATGAAGTTAATCAGTTAGCCGGAAAGTTGGCCCAAGTAAGGAACTGTAGAGGAGCTAGCTGCTGTGTTTTATTTTCCCAGGCTGTCTCCACTATGCTGACTGACCGGTTCTCCTTTTTCCACGTGCTTTCTGCTTACAGGAGGAACATCCTGAACTTGAAATAATAAAGACCAAACAAGAGGAAGTCAATACCAGCTGGCAGAGATTGAAAGGCCTGTCTCAGCAGAGACAAGGCAAACTGTTTGGAGCTGCCGAAGTCCAGCGTTTTAACAGGTACAGTGGAGGAATGATTCTTACAATATAGGCTTGGATTGATGTTTCCACCTGTGTCTTATAAAGCCGCCTCCTAAAATCAGAGTGTTGTACCATGTTCTCTGTGGTCAAAGTAGAAGTTTGGATTTAGGGTGATGCCTTTTTTGGCTATTTAAATCGATTGTGTTGCAACCTTTTGAGGCATGCTGGCCTCATCTATCGCCTGCATAGTCTTGCACTATTTATTTAATTAGCCCATAAATGGTATTACTCTAAATCCAAAGTCTGGTTCTCTAATATCAAAGTCCAAATCCCATTCGCACTGCCACGGTCTCAAAACCACAAGGTATATGTGGTGCCCAGATGACCACACGGATGGCGCCGTGCAAAACACTAATAATAAATAAAAGTAATTCACCAGCACACACTTGAAGGGTTTTTTAAAGTATTGATATGTTTATTCAATACCCAATCTCACATACTACCATACGGTGCTAACGTTTCGGATCCGCACAGGGATCCTTCATCAGAGCGATAGCACTGTCCCTGTGCGGACCCGAAACGCTGGCACCGTATGACAGTATGTGACATTGGGTATTAAATAAACATATCAATACTTTAAAAACCCTTCAAGTGTGTGCCGGTGATTTACTTTTATTTACTATTGGTTCTCTAATATAACCTAACCTGTAGAGCCAAAGTAACTTCCTAAGCACCATGTGTACACCTGACACTCGCCTGTTCTGTGACTGTAGTGCAAGAAAGATGAAGGCTTCTTATGAGATCGGTGCAAAGAAATGAAGGCCTCTAATGGGAAATGTGCAAAATGGTGTAAAGAACAGAATTTCTGAATACTAAAAAATATGTATGAGCGAGGACTGACATTCACAGGACCTGTTTCCACAATTGGTAGGCCCAGAGTGTGACCATAGTTCCATTTAGTATCTCGCTCTGTTACAGTGCCTCTGGCTATTGTGACAGTTGCTGACGGAACAAAAGGATGCACATATTCTAGGTTGAACAGTAGTTGTGTACAAACCTAGAATATGCTCATCCTTTTGTTCCGTCAGTAGATTCAGCCAATGACATGGAAAATAAACAACTATATGGTTTATAATTACAGTATATCCTAGTTGCAGGTAAAATTCTATGTTTTTTGTATATTCCAAATAAAGCATTTAAGACAGTTGCAGTATTTTTCCCCCTTTAAAACCCCTTGCCCAGATGGACACCAATATATAATTTAGGACAGGTTCACATGAAACACTTTACTTCTTTAGTGCTTTGAGCTGCACTTTTCATAGCACAGTGTGAAGGATAGAACAGTGCTGAGTAATCCCTAAAGAGCTTCTCCTCAACAACTAGACTAAATTAATGCAGCTTAGATTTTAAATATTGCAAAATACTCCTACTTTTGAATATGAATAAATATTTAATTGGCACATTTTATGGCATGTAGACCCAAGTGGCCAGGACTGTGTAGCAGAATTATTGAATCTTGCCGATGCGTGATCTCACAGCTTCTCTGACACACGAGTCTGACGTATGTTGCAGCGTGAGGTTGCAACAGTCCTCCAATGTTTTTGTAGCCTTGTTCTAATGGTGCTTTCCCAATTATTTGCCATAGAGATGTGGATGAGACTATTGGCTGGATCAGGGAGAAGGAGCAGCTGATGGCATCAGATGACTTTGGAAGAGACTTGGCCAGCGTGCAAGCTCTCCTGCGTAAGCATGAAGGACTGGAGCGAGACCTGGCAGCTCTTGAGGAGAAGGTATAAGTTATTCCACAGCTACGAGTTCTTTGTGTCGGGATGTAAAGTTGGACATTAGCTAATGATCTAATTGATTCTTTGTTTAGGTAAAAGCCCTGTGCTCAGAGTCGGAGCGCCTGCAGCAGTCCCACCCTCAGAATGCGCAACAGATTCAGGTGAAAGGGACTGAGCTGATCAACAACTGGGAGCAGATCCGCACTTTGGCAGCTGAGCGCCACACCCGCCTCTACGACGCCTACAAGTGAGTGATCAACTAAAGGTGCCCATACACTGTACGATTCTCGTACGAGAATCGCGGGAAATCCCGCGATCATACGAGAATCGTACAGTGTATGGAAGGCGTGCGACCGTTTCTACTGTACGGTCGCACGTCTTCCATCGAACAAGCAGGCTGGAAAACCCGCCGGGAATCGTACGATTCTCGGCGAGTGAGTGGCCTGCTTGTTCGACAACTGACAAACGGGCCGGTGTGCGCACGCGCACACTGCCCATTGCCGTGCTTGCAAGCCCGCACCTCATTGCAGTCATCGCAAGTACCATCTGCCTGTCCAAGATGGGCAGATCGTACGTTTTTTTAAGTACTTTACAACCATCGCAAGACTAAGGTCTTGCGATGGTTGTAAAGTTTATGGCCACCTTGAGATGTACTTTTTCCCCCTTTTTCTTGTGGATGTCCTAAGCAGCATTTAAAATGTACTAGCACAGACATATTGGTTGTGGAGGGACCTTCCCAATGGGGAGAGCCAGCAATTTAAGCTTGACGTGGGTTTATACCCTTACTGACAAAACATAAAATGTTTTAACCAGAGTTGGGCTTGAGCACACACTCCTTTGAAGAAATCATTAAAGGAGAACTATGAGGTGAATGCTTTTCACTCACCTCATAGTTCTAGCCGACCTGTGACAATGACACTGTCGCAGGTCGACTCAGTAGATCGGGAGGTGAGCGAACACATGCCGGTGTTCGCTCACTTCTCGATCCTGTCATGGCTCTCTGCCATGACAGGGGAAGGGCTGGATTCCCCCCTCCCCGCTCTGATCCAGCGCTGACTGGCGGAACGGACGGGGGAGGGGGCGGGGTACAGCTGGCTCTGACTCTAGATAGGCAGAGCCAGCTGTCATGCAGCTGGGCGGATTTCGACATCGATGTCGAGATCCGCTCCGGCGTCTCAGTATACCGCGAGCTGCAGCTCGCGGTATACTGTGCTTAGGGTGACGGGAGGACGCTAGTTTGTGTCCTCCCGTTACCCTAAGGAGAACCATGGTGAAAAGCCCTGACCCCATAGTTCTCCTTTTAAACATCAATATATTTTTAAACATTAGAGTTGAACAGATAATGCTAAAAAAAGAATTCTAGCCCTTCCACTTTTAAGGAAGTTGTTTGGGGCTCCATTTCTGTATACATATTCATTTTAGGTATGTAGATGTGATTTTTTGTCTTGTTGGCTTAGTTTCCATGTTTCCTTTCCAGGCTACAGAGATTCCTTGCAGACTTTAGAGACTTGACTAGCTGGGTAACCGAAATGAAGGCTCTCATCAATGCTGATGAACTAGCCAATGATGTGGCTGGAGCGGAGGCTCTTCTCGATAGACACCAAGAACATAAGGTAGAGCTCCTGCTTGTGTGTTAGTAAGTTATTGACAACTTTTTGATTTTTCATTCTCTTGGGATGAAGGTCATCTGCATGTGTCCTTCAAAGCTAGTGCAACTGTTGTCAGTGACATGCAAAAACCTCAGTTTCGTATAATCTGAACCACCTTCAGTCGCGTACAGTTGTCTCGGCTCCTCTGAAATTGCTTACTCTAATTTCATTGCACATTGTGAGCCACTAAAGATTTATTCCATTAAAGTACACTTAAACCCCAAATTATATTGCAGAATGCCAGACCCACTGGCAGAACTACCAGGGTCGCAGCGGTTGTATGTGCGACAGGGCCCTGATGTTTTGCCACTAGAGGGGCCCGGAAAGGAAGAAGAGGGCCTGGCCCCGGTGACTGCTGAGGTGCCGACATTGGGACTACAGCACCCAGCATGCAGCAGGCAAACGCTCCGCAGCTCCCTGCGGTGGTTGATACTCATACCACTGCGTTCTACCCACTGTCAGCTCACTCCATATACCTTGAGAGGGGGTGGGAGGAGACGTGCCTCTGTTTGCCCTCTAGCACCACAACTGCGGGTATTCCGCATTGCTGTATAATGTATTGCTGAGAATTGTAGTCCCTCTATAGCTGGGGGGGGTGTCCTTCATGGTTTCTTGCACTGGGGCACCGGGGGGGCCCTGAGATTTCTAATTATGCCTCTGTACAGCGCCCTGCTAGGCAGTCCCACCAGCAATGATCTGCCTGCCTGTTTGCATAGAGAGATAGGAGGGGGGGAATCAAGGTAAAATGAACTCAGAATAGACAACAACTTTAAGAAAGAGGTTTTCAGGCCTTTGTTGGCATAGCAGTAGCCATTTTAAGTACCTCTCCAATTTACTGGCCCAGCTTATATTAAGAAGGTGCATTCCTTATAATACTTTCATATCTCGAGAAAGATTGCGTTCTTTCATTGTATGTCAGACAGAGACCGATCCTAAAATCCTAGTAGTCATAACCCAGAAGTTATATATATTTTTTTTTTCAGTGGAAAATTGTTTCCATGAACTTTCTGGCTTAGCTGGCTCCAAAGCTACAAATGTGTTCATCGTTAGTGCAAGTAATTAGTGAATTCAAGACCACGTTGATTTCTATAGCATTAATAGTCCTAATATATGAAATTTGTATTGCCATCATGGATTGATCCAGAAGTGATATGATGAACATATAACTACATTTAATACTTTCTTTTCCTTCTCCCCACAGGGAGAAATTGATGCCCATGAGGACAGTTTCAAAGCCGCAGACGCCGCAGGACAGGACTTGCTCAATGCTGGACACTATGCCTCAGAGGAAGTCAAGGAGAAGGTATGTAGACCAGAGAAATTCTTCTCTCCTACTCGATTAGAGATGGTCCATGGTTCTTATAAACCAGTGTGAATTAAACCATAAAATATTTGTGTATGTAAAATGTTTTTTTCACTATTATGGGGGGGGAAATATTCTCTCGATCTGCACTATGGGTGGACAGAGTGGGGTCAGAAGAGGATAGTAGGGATGGGTGGGGTCAAATAAGACAGAGAGGGGCAACATGTTCTATCAGTTCCAATGACAGCTGCAATCTGGTTCCTTTGGACAAGGGATACATTTACTCATATGGTGCAACAATTTTTTATGCATACTTTATTTGCTTTTACTATGTGAGGTTACAGGACGCAAAGCAGTAGTGACAATTGTGTTGGAACTTGATGGGAGAGTTGAGGGGGATGCATCATCCAGATCACTGAGAAATTTCAATATGATACAGGTTTTTATATAACCTAGTAGGTGCCTCAAATATTACACAGAGCCTTGCAAACAATTGCCCAAGTTGATAGTCCCTGTGCTCATGTGTTGTGACAATTTGAGGAGATTGATCAGCACAATGTGAAAAGAGGCTATTTTAGGTTGGCATCTAAGAAAGAGTGTACCATGCATAATTTGTTGTTATTGTGGTTGTCAAAATGTGGACTGAAGTGTAGTTTTAATTGCGATGAAAAGATGTGGAGGTACTGGGTAGTTAGAGGGCACGTCCAGGGGGTTATGGGGTAAGAGGGGGAAGAGAAAGGGTAAAGTCTCATCCCACCATGCCCTTAACATATGCTTGAGTCACTTTTAGTTTGGGGGGTATGGTCTCAAGAAAATTCAGACTTGGGTCAGCATTTGGGAGTAAATGGGGATCTCCTTCCGGGGATACCAGGTTCTTTAAAAGACATTCTATACAATGGGGCAACATGGATTGGGCTTTAGCTCTACTCTAGTTTTATGTGGTGTTCCACAACATGCTAATAATTGTTGGGCTTATTATGGATTAACAAAATGCACCATTTTGTTTGTCTTTTAGCTCACCATCTTGGCAGAAGAGAGGTCCTCCCTCCTGGAGCTGTGGGAGCTGCGCAGACAGCAGTATGAGCAGTGTATGGACCTGCAACTTTTCTACAGGGATACCGAACAAGTGGACAACTGGATGAGCAAGCAGGAAGTAAGTTTTGTTTTTTAATTCACTTCACTGAATGATTTGCAGCAAGCCAGTTGTTCTAAAATACTGATTCTTTTATCAGGCCTTCCTGCTCAATGAAGACCTGGGAGATTCTCTGGATAGTGTGGAGGCACTTCTGAAGAAACATGAAGATTTTGAAAAATCCCTCAGTGCCCAAGAAGAGAAGATCACGGTATGACATGATTTTTACAACAAGCTACAACAGTAGAATCCAACAGCTACCCTTATAAAAAAAAAAAGAAGCTTTTATTGGCGATTTTTTTCTCATGGCCGAAGTTCTCCCATTAAAGGAAACTGTCATGAGAGAAATGGGGGGGGGGGCTGACATTGATGACCTCATTCTAAAAAAGCTATTTGCTTGGCTGTCATAAATCGCCGGCATGGAACAAGCATGAAGAAAATTCATCTGACATAGCCAGATCTTCTGATACTTGTTCCTAGTCAATGACTGAAATTGCTAGACAAGCAAAATAACAGCCAGGCAATTAACCTTTTCAAAAGGCATGGGAGGTTCTTTACAAAGCAGCTGAATGAATAACCGAGCCGAAGTGAACAGAGCCGTACAATGTTCGGCTATTCACTTCAGCTCAGTATGGCTGATTTCGGTCATGATGTTCGGCTGAGCCGAAGTGTAGAATGAGTTGGACTTAGCCAATCCAACATCTGGATTGGCTAAGCCGAAGATCCGGCATCTCGCTTGCTTCCATAGGGGCCAAACTACCTTCGAGGTAGCAAGCAGAATAGAAAAAAATTAAACAAATGGGGAAAAAAATGTTTACAAATTATCTAAATGTAAAAAAAATTAAACAAGTTAAGAAAATAATTTAAAAAAATTAAGTTAGGGAAAAAAGAATAAAGAGGGGGGTCCCCCTCCCAAACCATACCAGACCATTTAGGTCTGGTAGGAAAGTTAGGAGGGACCTCATTTAAAAAAAAAAAAAAAAGTGGGGTTGTCCCCGAATCTACGGCTGAATCCTTTGGCTCTTTCGTGAATAACCCTCTTAATTTCTAATATCCTGCTGAAGACATGTAACCTTTATCTGTATGCTGTAATTGGCAGGTAATTTATTCTGTGGCTTGTTAGATTTTAGGCTTTGTTGGCTCTGCTTTTGAAAATGCCTAAATTTCACTGTGATCTGTATTTTAGGCCCTTGATGAATTTGCCACAAAACTTATTCAGAATAAACACTATGCAATGGATGATGTTGCCACGCGCAGAGACGCGGTAAGCCTGGTCTTTGTCTGTTACCTCCATGTATAGGAAGGTATAGCTCTTAAGTGTCATTTTACATTTTTATCATGTCGTAGCAGGAGTGAATAATAAGGCATTCCTTTTTAATGCTACTGTTTTTTTCGCCCCTTAGCTCCTAAGTCGTCGTAACACACTTCATGAGCGAGCTCTTTACCGTCGCACTCAGCTGGCCGACTCCTTCCATCTCCAGCAGTTCCTCAGGGACTCTGATGAATTGAAGAGCTGGATTAATGAGAAGATGAAGACTGCCACTGATGAGGCCTACAAGGTGAGTACAGAGGGATCCCTTGTGCATGCTAACTATTATATACACACACACACACACACCCAGTACAGTTTTGAGGTCGTGGATGTGACAGTTTGACAATTTTGCTTAAATTATTTGTAAAGCCACTTAAAGGTCCAAAATCCAGTGTACCCATCGCATTCCTGACCGAATAATTCCCTTAGGCCCCATTCACATTGAGCGATTCGCAAATTGCGCGTATGTGGCGCGATTTGCATTTTGCGCGTTTGTCGCGCGATATTGCGCAAATGCTTGCATTGAGCAAGCTAGAATTGCGGCAAAATCCGCTCCAAAAAGGGTCCTGCTGTAGCGACTCACGACCCGCGACAGCGACAGACAGAGCCCCATTAAGATGCATTGGAGAGCGATATCGCGCGGTAAATAGCCGCGATATTGTGGGAATTACCGCGCAATAAATCGCTCAGTGTGAATGGGGCCTTAGAGTCGGGTGGGTGCCAAAGTGACTGCAGATGCCTCTGCAATCCAAGATAAGTGTATGTATAAAGTCACTCGCACTCCCAATAGAATTTCAAGTCAAAAACGGTTTATTGACTCGATTGCTATCACATCATATAGCGACGTTTCGGAACAACAGCGGTTCCTTCTTCAGGCAAACAGAATGTGAAGCACAACAGTACAAGTGCAGATATATAGTGAGAAGACAGTGGACCAATCACATGAACACATGTTAACCCCTCCGTTGCTGGAAAGACTATGCATTCCCGCCATAATGATTATATAACAAAGCATCACATGCAAGACATTGCCCAGATCAATCAGGATCATCTGGCCCTTTAAGAGTTCTAAATGTGCTGCCATGTTGCCTCTGGCCTTGCTGCAAACTATCACATGTGCTCCTGAGTTAGCTCCCAATCACTAAGAGATCCCGCCCATCTCCACACTTGGATAGTGTTTTGGTGCGGAGCTACTTCAGCGCCAAATTATAGCTAATTTGCCTACAAACGTCAGGTGGTCATAATAAACTGGCCACTCAGTGTATATCTGCACTTGTACTGTGGTGTTTCATATTCTGTTTGCCTGAAGAAGGAACCACTGATGTTCCGAAACGTCACTATATGATGTGATGGCAATCCAGTCAAAAAAACGTTTTTGACTTGAAATTCTATTGGAGTGCGAGTGACTTTATACATACGCCATTCAAAAATAAGTTCACACTATACTACTAATAACTTTCTACAGCTATAACAACATTTTTGGGTTTTTTTCCCCCCATTGCAGGAGCATGTCTCCGTTATCAGCAGGCAGGCCTCCCAATGGTATCGCAGGTTCCTAGCCACCGGTTTTCTTCAATATTTTTCCTTTTTGGACCACATTTATTAGGTTTTTCTGCCTTCCCCTCAACCACCTGCCTGTTTAGGATTCCGAGGATGCATAGTATTCACATTTCCTGTAGATGGAGATACAGTCTACCACAGGGGTGCCCATTAGGTAGATCACAATCTACCAGTAGATCGCAAAGTGAACACTGGTAGATCACGATCCACTCACTGACCTGTGTCCTGTCCTCTCGCCGTGCTCGTGCGGCTGAAATGTGTCAGATGCTGCAGATGGGAAGGAGAGAGGAGACTTGGGAAGCTGCTGCATTGCGGGGAAGCTGCTGCATTGCAGGTAAGAAAAGACAGACAGGAGAGATGCAGCAGACAAAGGTGAGAGAAGAGACAGCAGAGACAGAGAAGAAAGACGGAGAAAGTGAGAGAAGAGACAGCAGATAGAAACAATGGAGAGAAGAGACGGCCGGTACACACCACAAAGTCTGCGTTCCAGAGTGTTTAGCCTCAAGAAAGCATTGGAACGCAAGCCGGCCGGCTCCCTGCATTCAGGCACATTAAAGCCTGCTTTCCGGTCCAGCTCAATCTGCAAAAATGCAGCATTTTTGCAGATCGCACTGGACCGGAACGCAGGCACTAATGTGCCTGCACTCCTGGTGCGGCGGTTGCACTGGGGGCATGGCTGCGGTGTCATTGACTTCAATGCACTGCCACGCCCCTGAATGCAGGTTTTTTTTTTTCGTTGGTGGATTTAATTGAGCTCGTCATTTGAAAAGTAGATCTGTGTGTATACGAAAATCCAACAAATGTAACTAAAATAAGAGACATTCTCTGCTATTCCCTGCAGGATCCCTCCAATCTCCAGGGTAAGGTGCAGAAACACCAGGCTTTTGAGGCTGAACTCTCTGCCAACCAGAGTCGCATTGATGCACTGGAGAATTCTGGACAGAAATTGATCGATGTCAACCATTATGCATCCGATGAGGTGGCAGCTCGTATGGACGAAGTCCTCACCTTGTGGAAAAGGCTGTTGGAAGCCACTGAACTGAAAGGTGAGGTGTTGAGGATGATTTGAGCAGTGTAACCCAAGAGAGGTTCTTGAAATTAAATGCTAATATTTGTGGCTTTACTACCCAGGCATTAAGCTACGCGAAGCCAACCAGCAACAACAATTTAATCGGAATGTGGAGGACATCGAACTGTGGTTATATGAGGTGGAGGGACATTTGGCTTCAGATGACTATGGCAAAGATTTAACTAATGTGCAGAACCTTCAGAAGAAGCATGCTCTACTAGAAGCTGATGTGACGGCTCACCAGGTACTCCAATTTTGTTTCTCCAATCACTGGGGGACACAGCAGACCACTGGGTTTTTAGCCCTGCCGCTAGGGGAGGGGCATTAAGCAAGGGGGCTTTGCTCCTCCATCCGTAGGATATATCCTCATCACAAGAAATGAGAGCCAAGTTTTAGCTCAATGTCCTGAAGGCAGGATGTCTTGGGATTTTTGTCTTCAAAGGATTTATATTTCTTGTTATCGTTTTTCTTTCAGTTGGTTCTTTAGCCCTTTTTTTGGTGCTTTTTAAGCCCTCTGTGGAGCTAATGGGACATTTTTTTCACGATCAAGTTCTTGTACCAAGGGATATGTTTCTTATGTCTTGTTAATGTTTATACAGGACCGTATAGATGGGATCACCATCCAGGCACGTCAGTTTCAGGAGGCCGGACATTTCGATTCGGATAACATCAAGAAAAAGCAGGAGGCTTTGGTCGGACGCTATGAAGCTTTAAAAGAACCCATGGTTGCTCGCAAACAGAAGCTATCTGACTCTCTGCGTCTGCAGCAGCTGTTCAGAGATATTGAAGATGAAGAAACCTGGATCAGGGAGAAGGAACCTATTGCTGCCTCCACAAACAGAGGTGTCTGCTCTTGTCACTTACAATGTTGGCCTTCTGCAGACCATAGACTTGGTGGAAATAAGTCCTCCTAACTCCTTTTAATGATCTTGTTTCTAGGCAAGGATTTGATCGGTGTTCAGAACCTGCTGAAGAAGCACCAGGCTTTGCAAGCTGAAATAGCTGGACACGAGCCACGTATCAAAGCTGTCACACAAAAGGGAAACAACATGATCACTGAAGGTATAAGGCAGAGCATTTTGTTTTCAGATCATGGTTCCTGTCATGTGTTTTGTATAAAGCTTTAGATTTTTTTCTGTTTTTAGTATGAGGGTGTCATCATTCAAGTGTGCCTTGGGCCTCATTATATCTAAATACAGCCCCCAGCTATTTGTGTACTTCCGTTGTAGTCGATATCTATACTGTTAAACTGAGATCTCCATGTCTTAATTGTACAGGACACAGGCAATTCATAGACTGGGTAATATGCAGGTATCACCAGGTGATGAACACTGGGCAGAGCTGTGAGGACCCTCATATAACCCTGCCCACTACAGAAAAATCCTTTTTTTTTTTTTTGCTAGTGTCCATAGGTGATGGACATCTCCTCTCTACTGAGGGAGATGTGGTATTTTTTTAGTCACCTTTCTTTCTCGTGGAGTCTTCCCTCAAGTGCTTCTGGCTGCGTGCAGCCACAGCATCTACTTTCATTGCTTTCGGATCAGTACCATCTGTACTCCTAAACTTAATTTCAGTTTCCTTGAGGGAAGAAAATAAATCACTTCCAGGTCCATAAAATTTTTTGACAAAATTTGCTTGTATTGTATTGATTACATCAGTACACTACTTAGGCGGAGGTTCTGCACTGCTTGATAGCTGACGTTAGACTGAACCTATTCTTTCGCAAGGTTGTCCTTCTCATGAAGCATGCTATGGATCACCTACAGTCATTTGTACCCTGGTGGTAAACCATCCTTTACTTTGGAAACCACTAATTGGGTCTGTTGCCCTTAGGACATTTTGCGTCTGATGATGTGAAAGTGAAGTTGAGGGAACTGAACGATAAGTGGGCATCTCTGAGGAACAAGGCATCACAGCGAAGACAGGATCTAGAAGATTCTCTCCAGGCTCAGCAGTACTTTGCTGATGCCAATGAAGCCGAGTCCTGGATGAGAGAAAAGGAGCCAATTGTAGGAAGCACCGACTATGGCAAAGATGAGGACTCTGCAGAGGTAGGACCAGCCTCCCGGCCCTAATGCCAAGTTCTTGCCTCTTAGTCCGCTCTGTTACTTATATGAATTTCCTGCTTTCAGGCTCTTCTGAAGAAACACGAAGCTCTGATGTCTGATCTCCGGGCATATGGAAGCAGCATCCAATCGCTAAGGGAGCAGGCCCAAGGTTGCCGGGTAAGTGTAACAGTCATCAGTAGATTAAATTCCTACCTAATTTAATCTCCTGCAAACCCCAATCTGACACCTTATAGACCACATGCTTTAGCAAGTCCGTATCGGCTTGATATGTGCGTACCTAACGTGCAGTGTATATATAATGGAGGATGCAAACTAAGAAACCCATACATATTCCAGATGCACCCATTGAGCTGTGTTTTAAATTACTGGACTGTGTATTTGGGCAGACCAGTAGGTATTGAAGCTGACCAGCCTTCTCCTTTTTTTGTTTTTAGCAACAAGTTGCACCAACAGATGACGAGACTGGAAAGGAGCTAGTTCTGGCTTTGTATGATTATCAGGAGAAGAGCCCAAGGGAAGTGACCATGAAGAAAGGAGACATCCTAACGCTGTTGAATAGCACAAATAAGGTAACCAATTAAAAATGAGCGGTCCTGGATAATGGTATCCAAGTCTTACCTGTACATACAGAGCTCTAAATGTTTGATGTTAAACGATCGTTCACTCAAAGGATTTTGTTCACCCAATATACACGCCCACTGGTCCCATGTTGGCTTTATCTCCCAAGGTCCACATTACTGTCTACGTGTTCATGTATGGACCGTGCTGGTGTATTTCTGCTGTATTAGCATATCTTAAAGTAGACTATCTCTGATTGTTTTTGACTCTGTAACCATGATGCCAATATCAACAATCCTAATTTGTTCCTTGCTTATTCCACCATTCTAAAGCATTACTCTGCAGACTGTTTACATATAGCCTGATGTGCAAGTGCGCCATTAGTAATAGATTGCATGGTGTCTTTAGGACTGGTGGAAAGTGGAAGTGAATGACCGTCAGGGCTTTGTACCTGCTGCGTATGTGAAGAAGCTGGATCCCGCACAGTCTGCTTCTCGGGAAAACCTGCTGGATGAACAAGGAAGCATTGCATTGCGTCAGGAACAGATCGATGGACAGTAAGACACCATTTTGTTGTTCGTTTAGGTCTGCTGTGCTTGGTAAAGAGACCAGTGATATTTCATAGGAGAAAGGGTTTCATAGGTTACAATTTAAGCTGGCCTCTTTAATATTTAATAATCTCCCTGATGAGGACTACAGGCTCAGATTATACAGCCATAATGCTGCACAAATTCCATGGGGGGAAAAAAACTGATGCTATGTGGTCATTTGTTTATGGGACAAAGATGGGTTTGAGCTGATCACTTGTTCTTCCATCTCTCCACTGCCGAATTTTGGGAGACTGGCCTTTCTTTATTCCAGATAAAGGCAGGGATTCTTTCAGTGAGCTATTATCTACATTGGCTCATTCTCATGTAAACTAAAGTGGCCTCCTGCCTCCAGTTTGGCATTGTCTGATATGAAGCAATATTTTGTTTAAAATGCCAGAACTGGAAAACTCTTAGGTTAACTTCAAATAATTAGAATATTCCTTCAATTTCTTGAATCCGTTGAACTTTTCAGCAGTAAGCTTCCATCTGGGATCTTCAAATTGACCAATTGTCCAACTGCGATCTGAAAGCTAGAACAGATTTTTACATTGTGGGCAGCTAGGGTGCTTGCATACCGAGGAGTACTATGTCATTTTCTGCTCTTTAAGGAGAATTATGAGGAGTGTTTTTCACTCAGCCTCATAATCTGAGCCGACCTGTGACAATGAAACTGTCACAGGTCGGCTCAGTAGATCAGCAAGTGAGCGAACACATACCGGCGCTCGCTCACTTCTCGATCTATCCCTGCAGAGAGCTGTGACTGTCACTCATGGCTTCCTGCAGGGATTCCCCCCCTGGATAGGCAGAGCCAGCTGTCACGCAGCTGGGTGGATCCAGACAGAATTGTCGGGATCCGTTCCGGCTGCAGCGTCTCAGTATACCGCGAGTTGGAGTCAAAGACAGATCCTGATTGACGGTCTGACCCTGCCCCACTCTATAAAAAGCTATGCAATTTTTTTTTTTTAAAGGGTTTTGGATGGAGTTTGGCTCAAATTGTCGATCCAGACTGAACTTTTAAAGGAACAAGCATGTAAAGTCAGTATTTTTGTGCAGCATTATAGCCGAACAAGTTGAAGTACCAAATTTCATCTACAGGTCCATTTTATTGGAAGCCACGGCTTTGATGAAAATAATGTTATTGTTCCATTACAGTCATTGTACAAAACTTCCCTTTTTTCCTTTCTCATATCAACCATCCTGATTACTGCATGCCATCATATTCACTTGCAATCACCATCACATCTTTGTATAAATTGATATGTACCTTCAGACCTAACGTCTGTTTTTTGCTGTGTGATTCCCCACATAACCAGCCTGCAATATGCATCCACCAATCGCAGCACCGTTCACCATGATTTAATATGCATCTTGTTTAATGTTTGATTTTTCTGTCTGCACTACTGTGCGAGGTGAGGTTGAAAGTATCACAGCTTGAGGAGACTGTTCTAGGAATGATGAACCCAAGCTGTGATATTTTCAGTTCAAGGGGGTGTCCACTTGCATATCCTTTTCCTATGTAGGTATGCACTATTTAATATCCTTTTTAAGCAACAGGCTGTCTATCCTTGGTGGCAGAGGTCCACTTTATATGCAAAGCATTGGGTTTGTTTTAATGCCTCCCTCCCGAGCAGCACAAACTGACCTTTCCTTTTACTTCCCTACCATTCCATTTAGCCGCTGTGGTTTGGACAAGGAAGCCCAGCGTAGCCACCAAGTAGCTCTAGTTGGAGCTTACAAAGCTTACTCTGGTTCTCCATGTGACAGCACTAGGCCAATGCCCATTGCTGTCACGTGAGCGGAAAGCGACATTCTCCTTCATAACTGTCAGTCTGGAGTATTTTATGTGCTCCCAGTGGCGGAGAAGGTGGGCAGGAATGTGAAGCAAAAGTGAGTTTGTGCTGCTGGGGAGGGCAGACCGTTAAGTGGAGCTGTTTCTTTGTCCTGTGTGGGTAAAGCACGGTGTTGCTTGATTTCTCCCCCCCCATTGAAACCGTAGTGTTCTAAAAACGCACGTCCTGGTGATGTGTTTGGTGAGGGTCCCTGCAGATTTCAATGGGTCTCTGAGTGCACAACAAACGCAGGTACGTAGTGCATGTCACAAATTTTCCGACATGCTTTCTGCCGGGTTTTTTTCCCCCTGCATGTTCATGCTTGTGGGAAAACACATTTGCTCAGCTATATTTGGGGTGCCATCAGGGGCGTCCTGAGGTCGGGGTGTCACCCGGAGCGAAGACCAGGTGACACCTCGCTGTGCCGTCATCGCGCGTGCGTGGTCGTCTAATTGATGCCTGCCGACGCCCATCTTGGTGATGGACGCCGGCAGAGAGAGGAGGGGACATTTACCCGGCCGGATGAGATATGCTGCCGGGTCCTCTCCTGGCACTGTCGGGCTCTCGGTCCATGACCGAGTGTCCGACTTTTTAGAGGGGGGGACACCAAAATGTCATTTTGGTGTCACCCGGGTTCGGGCCGCACCCCCTTGTGACGCCACTGGGTGCCATTATCTAGTAGTGGCACACCGCAAGCTCATTCCGCGTTTTTGGTGTTCATTTTCCGGAATGCATGTCGAAGCGCGCAGTTTCGTGCAGGTTTGAACCGCATTAACGATACGCGTAGCGGGGACTTAAGCTGGGAAAACACTTTTTTAGACGAAACCTGTACTGAGAGATACCTTTTTACTGATCCCTGACTAAAAAGCCATTTGAATGGCTATCTCGCACAGTACTTTCTGAACCACTGACTTGGAGCAAGTATGCAACAAAATAAAGTCAGATTTTTTTTGATTTGCCTACTCGTTCTAGGCAAGTGACTGAAAGTATTGAGGCCAGAGGATTAGCATGGTAGCTAAGCAACTAGTATTTTCAGAAGTAGAAGTCAGCATTGGCCATATTTCTCTCAGAACAGATTTCTTTTAAGCCATTGGTAAATGGCTTCATTAGCCAATGGGCAAATTGGTTTTCGTCCCAGCTTAATTTGGCACAGTTCTGGCATACTGACTTAGCAAATTACTACAGGTGCGCCAAAATGAAATTTTTAAAACGGAAACAAAACCAAAAATAAAAGCCAGGCCGAAACAAATCATTTCTAACCTTTTAAAAAAATGTTAAATATTTTATTTGTTATAAATGTTTTATTTATTTAAAAAAAAAAAAATTGTATTTTTTACCTTTTTACTGTCGGGGGCATCGGGGAAATATTAGGGGTCTAAACTGACCCCTGATATTTCCCTTTTAAAATAGAAAAAGAGATTGAGGACACAAAGTCTCTCAATCTCTTTTTCTGCAGCCCCTGTTATCAATGAACAGGAAGGCTCTATACTGGGCATTCCTGTTCATTCATAACTTGTAGTTATAGTATGTTTTACTATAGCCACAATCATGAATAAACAGGAGGTGATGTAGAGCACTTCCCATTCGTTCATAATTTTGGACACAGTAAACGTACTATGTCCTCAATTATTTACAAACACTCAGCACTCACTGATTGCTTGTACTCGCTGTCGCAGGAGGCTGACCGAGCGGTGTGGGAGGAGAGCTCGCTCTCCAGTGACAGCTGTCTCCGCCTCCACACTGCTCTCCTGATCTGTCACGGGGGTTGAGCGGAGCGGGTGGGGAGCCCTGCCTCCTGTGACACGCCGGGTCTTTACAGCGCTCTCCTTCCCCGTGCCACTTGGTCTCCTGTCACCATTTCTCTCCTCCCTGCTGGACACTGCACTGTGTCAGAGGGGACACAGAGCAGTACCCTGCGGGGAGGAGAGAAGCCAGGCATGCACCACAATTTCGCCCAAAAGATGGCATTTTGCTAAAACTGCCAGTTTCGGCCGATATGTTTCGGCGGCCAAAATTTCAGTGCATCCCTACAAATTACCATTAACTATTTTCATTATATATTTGATTCCCTATTTGTGCACTTAAATATTTAATTAGAAATTTGAACTACATGGGTTACAAATGTAAAGTAGACATGTGCGATTCGTTTCGTTCCGAATCGAAATTCGGACGAATTTTCGGACATTCGGATGTATCCGAATTCCGAATTACAGACCAAACGAATCCGAATTTCCATTTCCGAAATTCGGTAGCGTTCGCACGAACGTTCGTTTCGTTTTCTGTTCTTCGTTTCTTATTCGTTTCGTTCGTTGGAGCAAAGTGACATTAGAGAAGGAGAAAAATATTTTTTTCCCCTCAAATGTCACTTTTGCTGCAAACGAACAGAAAACAAAACGAACGTTCGTGCGAACGCTACCGAATTTCATCCGAATTCCGAATCCGAATTGACTTTCACACCCGAATCCCGAAAAACGAAATAACACAAATCCGAATTTGAAACGAAACGAATTTTTTGGCAGTGCACATGTCTAATGTAAAGCTGGTCATACAGCTATAGATTATCTGCGTATTTTCTATGATCAGATGGAAAAAGTGCAACAGATTCCTCCATCTACGCTGAACTGTGTGGATGGAGGAATCTCCCACTGGGCCAAGCTTCAGTATCTTGCTGGTTGGCCCCACTGGCTCTCAAAACACCTGAACATTGCCGGCATCCAATCAGATTGTTCAGGTATTTTGAGAGCCAGTGGGGCCAACCAGCAAGATACTGAAGCTTGGCCCAGTGGGAGATTCCTCCATACACACAGTTCAGCGTAGATGGAGGAATCTGTTGCACTTTTTCCATCTGATCATAGAAAATACGCAGATAATCTATAGCTGTATGACCAGCCTAATGAAATGGAAAAATTACTGGTCCATGCCGGATCTGCTTGACCTTGGAAGAGCCTGCTTGCACCTCTCTGAAGTTGGACACCCCCTGGAATTGCTGCACACCATTCTGTGCAGTCCCTCCTAATACAGCCTGCAGGCTGAGCTGCACCTCCTTGCCTGATGTTAATCACACTAATGTCTGCATGCCTACTTTGCTGTGCTCCCTTCTTGTCTGTACAGGGCTGTCCTATCAAAGGAAGCTGGCAGTGTATCTCTGCGTATGAATCAGGTTTCAGAATTGTAAGTATTCCATTGCCATCAATATGTTTTAGGTGCTTAAAGTGAACATGTCACGACTACCACTGTCTGTAAATTACATTACTGGTAAACTTAACGCATCATGTGGTGCTTGCATGTACATGCACTTGTTGGTTGTACAGGGCCTCAACTTTGATTTAAGTAAAAATTTAAAGTAAACACTATTTTAAACTTTTGAAAGTGAGTCTTGCTTGCAGACACCAGTTTATCGCCCATTGCTTTTACTAGGGACTGAATTCATGGCTAAGCCCTGTCATTTACTGTCACTGCCCAGTGGGAATGCCTGTGCAGGCTACTGAGGCTGGTCTCATTGTATGTTAGAATGGCAGCTGACAAGGCTTAGAAAGGGAAGGCTGAACCCCCTTCCATCCAATGGGAGTGCCTATAATGGCCACTGAGGCAAGTCTTATTGGACAGTAGAATGGCAGCTGATGTGGTTTAGCCCTGATGTCATGGGAAGACCACACCCCCTTCCATCCAATGGGAGTGCCTATGCTGACCACTGAGGCAAGACCACACCCCATTCTGTCCAATATGAGAGTCTATGCTGGCTACTGAGGCAAGTTTGATTGGACAGAAGAATGGCAGCTGATATGGTTTAGCCCTGATGTCATGGGAAGACCACACCCCCTTCCATCCAATGGGAGTGCCTATGCTGACCACTGAGGCAAGACCACACCCCATTCTGTCCAAAAAGAGAGTGTATGCTGGCTACTGAGGCAAGTTTCATTGGACAGTAGAATGGCAGCTGATATGGTTTAGCCCTGATGTCATGGGAAGACCACACCCCCTTCCATCAAATGGGAGTGCCTATGCTGACCACCTGAGGTAAGTCTCATTGGTCAGTAGAATGGCAGCTAACATGACTTGGCCATGGAATCAAAGGAAGTCAGCCCCAGAAATAAAGGGAAACTAATTGAGAGTGGGGGCACAAAAAAGCTTTTCTGGGTAATAATGTTAATTGTGGTCTAGGTCTTTTATAGGAGCTTACAGATGAAGGCAGTCATGCTCTAGAGCAGTGGTTCTCAACCTGTGGGTCGCAACCCACAGTTGACGGGGTCCCCACATTCCTTGTGCTGCTCTAGGTAAGAGCTCCTCAGCCTCCTCCTTGGGTGGCAGTGTCAGTTCTCCTAGGTGGCGCTGCAGCAGCGGCCGGAGAGGATCAGAGAGAGGGGAGCAGGCAGGAGTGAGGGGAGGTTAATGCTCGTTTACCATAGAGCCCACAACTAGGCACTACAGAGCCCGCACTGGACGCCACCAGAGGGTCCCACTAGCCACCTGAGAGCCCGCACAGCCTCCTGAGAGCCCACACAGATACTAGTATTGGTGCATCCCTAAATGTTATGGTTGGGAGTCACCACAACTTGGCAAATGTTACCAAGGGGTCCCGGCCCTAGAAAGGTTGAGAACCACTGCTCTAGAGGTTGTCTGTTTTAAGAAGGAATGGCATCAGTATCGCTTGCAAACAAAGGCTCAGCTGACTAGCACTAGAGAACTACAGAGAATCTATTTGAAACTGAGAATTTACTTTATTGCTGTGCTGTATGTGTATAGGCCAATGTAGTTGGATGTGTATGTGCGTTATAATCGAAATTAATCGATTAAAAAAAAATTCGATTAATCGAACAGGAAATTTTTAATCCTTACCAGCCCTAAGAAATTCCTTTAATAAAATTGCTGCAGTCCTTTTTCCTAGATTCTTCCTTCATTAAGCCGGCACTTGACTTCCTCAGGCTGGACAGTTCAAGTTCATCAGTTGCCATCTCAATAACTGCACTCGGCCTCTTAAAAGAAACCCATACTGCAAAATATATGGGCCTGCCATTGCGGGCTTCCTTCCCAAAATGCTGGCTTTTTACCTAAATTTACCAACAAATGATGCAGCGAATGATATCAGAACTATTTCATACCTACTTGGCATTGATCAGTGACCTAGAATGTGACAGAGTGCCAATGTACCCTTCAAGATTACCATGTGCTGTGACTTGAGAGGTTTGTGCTTTGTTGCTTTAGTTTGCAATCGTGGCACAGTCATAGGTGGCAGGATGCAGTCAAACCACTCATGGAGATCTGACCCTTGTACTTCTGCATTGTAGATATCACAACATCTTGGAGGTGGGGGAGAAGCGTAAAGACATGTTGGAGAAAAGCTGCAAGAAGTTTATGCTGTTCCGTGAAGCCAATGAACTTCAGCAGTGGATCAATGAGAAGGAAACTGCGCTCAACAGTGAGGAAGTTGCGGCAGATCTGGAGCAAGTTGAAGTGTTGCAGAAGAAGTTCGATGATTTCCAGAAGGTTATTACCATTCTTTTCCTGCCACCACTGGAATCCATATTGAGCTATCTTGGATATGTGCAAAGCTACTAATGATTTTAGGGCCTAAATCTGTATTGCTAAGCAAAGTCGTTTTACATAAAAAAAAAAAAAATGACCTACTTGTTGTCAAAGCTCAACTAGTTCAATGAGGGTCGTAAAAAGACAGATTTAAAATCTATAAGAGAGCACCAGGTGGAAGCGGTTCATCCCCAGGGTTCAGAGATGGACCGCTAGAAGATAGGGCAGTAAAGAGTCTATTTCATGCATACACCTTCTTTAAGCAGTATTTTTTATTTCGGATCATCCAAATGTGTGATGGGTCCACATTTAAAGGAGAATAATGGGGTCAGAGCTTTTCCCAATAGTTCTCCTCGGGGTAACGGGAGGACACAAACTAGCGTCCTCCCGCTACCCAAAGCTCAGTAGCTGTAGCTCGCGGTATGCTGAGACGCCGCAGCCGGGACGGATCCCGACATTACTGTCGAGATCTGCCCAGCTGCGTGAGTGACAGCTGGCTCTGCCTATCTAGAGGCAAGAGCCAGCTGTACCAGCCCCATCCGTTCCGCCAGTCAGTGCTGGAGGATCGGGATGGGGGGGGAGAATCCCTGCAGGGAGCCGTGAGTAAGAGTCACGGCTCTCTGCAGGCATAGATCGAGAAGTGAGTAAGCGACGGTATGTCTTCGCTCACCTCCCAATCTATTGAGCCGACCTGTGACAGCTTCATTGTCACAGGTCGGCTAGAACTTTGAGGCTGAGTGATTTTTCACTCGCCTCATAGTTCTCCTCCTTTTAAGTAGGACCCTAGCCAAAATTTTGGATAGAGTATGGAAGGTTAAGACATATGTCCGGTCTTAGTATTACATAATGTATAGTGCTTTTTAGTGAGCACATATTTGAATTTTTTTTTAATTATTATTATTTTAAGTGACCTTTTTAATCCTTGATCTCCATCTTTTTATTGGACTCGTTAGATATTTGCACATTAACCACTAAAGGAAGCTGTGTATTTTAGTCTGCTTACCTTATGCATATCTGTTGAGATAAGATATCGGCCACACAGGAGGTGCATTGTTTTCAGTGAGTTAGCCGATTCATTAAAACAGAAGTAAAGTCCAGCCATGGTTTATAGCTTGTTTCTTTTTTGGAATCCCTGCAATATGTTATACATTGCACTCGCAGGATTTTCTGAGGTAGTCCCCATTTGCTTATTGGACTTGCTTACGTTCTCTTGTAGGATTTGAAGGCTAATGAATCACGTCTGAAGGATATCAACAAGGTTGCCGATGAGTTGGAATCTGAGGGGCTCATAACTGAAGAAGTCCAGGCTGTACAACAGCAGGTAGCTCAAGCGTTCTGCTTTTATTTAGAATTCTTTTCTTTTTTTTTTTAATCTTTACTGATTTTGTTCTAATTTTTATATTTATTTTTCTTTCAGGAGGTGTATGGCAGCATGCCAAAGGTATGTAGCAGAGAATTATTCTTCAGATGTTGCCTCTGACACTAAACTCAGGAGTCAAATCTTAAAAATCCATTAAAGTACCTCAACTATTAACATGTATCTTATTTGTGTATCACTCGGCTGTAGATCCTCAAATCATCTCTGAATTGGTGCTGACGCTGTCCTTTCTTTTTGGAGGGCGACTACTTTTGTTCCCCATGGTCCCCGTGTGTGTGTTGTAAACTAGTCACCGCTCCAAGCTCGCTCCTGTGATGGACGACAATCTCAATACAAATTAGTAATCTAAACATGAGATTGTAGTCCATCACTGGAGCGAGCTTGGAGCGGTGACTAGTTTACAACACACACACGGGGACCATGGGGAACAAAAGTAGTCGCCCTCCAAAAAGAAAGGACAGCGTCAGCACCAATTCAGAGATGATTTGAGGATCTACAGCCGAGTGATACACAAATAAGATACATTATTGTTAATAGTTGAGGTACTTGAATGCATTTTTAAGATTTAACTCCTGAGTTTAGCGTCACATTAAGCAAGTTCCTATAGTGCTGTGTATGGCAGTCTTTGAATTGTTACTCATGGGTTTTCCCTAAACAATATGGACGGTGCCCCCTCCCCTTTTTTCCAGTCTACCTACATCTGTCAACTCTGGTGTCATGGCACCTGCCAGTAAAGCGTTGCCTGCTTGATCCACACATGTGTAGGCAATTTATAACTAAAGATTTTTAGTAATCTTCAGACCTAAAATGTGCATTTTATTGGGTGTGGGGAAAAAAATGCAAAAATGGGTCTGGCAGTGAAAGGATTAAATCGGGTAACTACAGTCCAAGTGCATCATAATATAAAGTGTGTAAAGTCTAACAGTGCAGTGTTTTCTGAAAGCAGCCACAGCCTGAGTAGAAAGGCCTATGCCCTGCCAGCATAATTCAGAGAAGGACCCTAGCTCTCTGGGTGCAAAGGGTGTCTCTGCAGAGATCTGAGTTATTCCCTGCTGAGTCGGAGATAGCACCGGAATGTATTTAGCTGATTTAAGAAGTTCAGCAGCAAGAAAGAATGTAGCATTTAAATCACAATAAAAGCAACCATCCATAGAATTTGGCATTGGGTGACAGGCCCTGTAAGTCCCTCTTCTATTAACGTTCATTGGGGGACCCAGCAGACCTCCTGCATAAGCTCCTCCCATAGAAAGATGGATGCTAGGCAAAAGAAGAGCATTGTGGGCTTTATATTTTTATTACGGTAAGTAGTGCTATGCAGTTTATTACAGGTATTTATATAGCGCCGACAATTTACGCAGCACTTTACATAGTTGCACATTCACATCAGTCCCTACCCTCAAGGAGCTTACAATCTAAGGTCCCTATCTCACATGCATACATAGAGGGCCAACTTAGAGAGGAGCCAATTAACAGTTGAACATATTAACAAACTGCCTCCCATTCACATAGAAAAATAGGCCAATACTAATATCAATGTGATTTTTATTTATTTTTGGTAACCATCTTGTCTTTTTATTTTGTGTAGGATGAGGCTGATGCCAAGGGAGCATCGCCATGGAAGGTAGGTCCTTTGACTTAAACTTAAAATAAAAACATTTCTTAGGAGGATGTTGGCAGGTTACGTCAACCTCTGGCTTCTTGTGGATGTTGGTGGCAAGGTCCAAGGTTCTTCCGTAGAGCTGCACAGAGTGGTCAAGCACTAGGTTTATAGACGGAGGATCGTGCCCTGATCTCTCCAAAAACGGCTGTAATTTCAGGTCTACAATTGCCTTAAAGGGTCAGTCCATCTAAAACTGATATTTTAGTTTTTGGTAGATATTGGACATTTAAACCACATGACCGCTTCTTGCTGTTGGCAAGATCTCTTCATGGAGTTCCTGGGCCTCCACATCTGCTGCGCCCATTATGAGTAGCACCACTCTTGCTGCTGAAATGTTATGATCTATTTCATATTGTAAAGAATGTAACAGGAGGAGCTGGAACACACAAAGGTGGGGTACACCCAAAACTGCAATGATGGAATAGAGATCACTCTTTTATTATGCAAGATATAGAAGAACCAGGGGCTGACTCGCCAGGTTCTTTCTAGATCTAAAATTACTTTTGGGGTGTACTGATCCTTTAAGTCATGTGATTAGTAATAGGAGTCATCATGGCTGCCCGATAAATGCTTCCTTAAGGCCTCATTCACACTCGAAACGGCCGGCACGTACAGCTCCGCGCTTCGTGCACGGCCGTATCGGGCAGCCCTCGGGAAGGAGAGGTGCTGCGTGTGATTAGTACGCAGCCCCTGTCCTTCTCTATGGGACTACGCTCACCTCAAGTGCGGGTGCGTGTTTCCTGGCTCGGACGCAGACAGAATCCATCCTGTCAGCGTACGAGTACGCTCACCCGCACGGCCGAGTAGGGAGGCGTACTGCCACGTAGTCCTATAGTGAAGGATGGGGGCTGCGTACTAATCACACGCAGCACCTCTCCTTCCCGGGAGCTGCCCGATACGGCCGTGCACACAGCACCTCTCCTTCCCGGGAGCTGCTCGATACGGCCGTGCACACAGCACCTCTCCTTCCCGGGAGCTGCTCGATACGGCCGTGCACACAGCACCTCTCCTTCCCGGGAGCTGCTCGATACGGCCGTGCACACAGCACCTCTCCTTCCCGGGAGCTGAGCTATACGGCCGTGCACAGAGCTGTACGTGCCGGACATTTCTAGTGTGAATGAGGGCTAATGATTAATACATGAAAAATTGGCTAACAAGTATGAAATACTTTGTATAAATACCTATAATAAATAAGGAAGTGCAAACCTGTTCCAGAATAGGCTTTACATATGAACTACTTTGGACATTTTTGTCAATGTATAATTGTTATATTTGACCCTAAACCATCTTTTTTTTCCTCAGAGTGTGAGGACAGCCGTGAACGCTGTGGCTACATTTAATTCAATCAAGGTATGACTACATTTAGCTTATGTTTCACTATTCATTACTTTCTATTACAAAACACATGTCTTCGCAGCATTCATTGGTCTTCTACGCATTACTTTAAACCTCATGTGATTTTGTGATGCTTCCCTCTTCTGCAGGAGCTGAATGACCAGTGGAAGTCCCTTCAGCAGTTGGCAGAGGAGAGAAGCCAGCTGCTGGGCAGCGCTCATGAAGTGCAGAGATTCCACAGGTACAATGGCCGTCTAGATTATGTGACGCAAGGATTTTCAGTAGCAGCTAATCTATTATTATTATTATACAGGATTTATATAGCGCCAACAGTTTGCGCAGCGCTTTACAATATAAGGAAGACATTACAATTCAAGACAAGGAGGGCCCATTACTTTTATTAGTGCAGCCTACAAAAATGGCTGCTTGCACAGCATAAGTTTGACACATGGAATATTAGAAAAGGCTCTTCTATCTTTTGACATACATTATATGTTTGGTCTTAGTTGTTATTAGTCTGATTAATGTCAATTAAGGTTTCTGATTCTGAATCTGCTGCAAATGACCCTTGCCAACAGTTGGCCTGAGAGTCTTATTGAGAAGATTCTTCATTCTTTCAATTCCACCTCCCTGTGCACTTGTCTGCTAGCCGGAATGCCCAATGTAGGGTATGGCTTTGCTTGTGTTCAGAGTGATTGAAGTCTCCGAATTGGGGGACACAAATAACTGGGGTACTGCTCCACACCTCTAGAAGGCTGCACATTAAGCAGACTGGTATGCTCTTCCACCTATGGAGAACTCCGGTTTGGGTTCATGTCTTAGAAAATAGGCAGTTTTTTTAGATTTATATGTATTCAAGAAGGTTTTGGGGTTTGTTGTGCTTGTTTTTTTTCTTTTACTTGGATCATCTGCTTCTTGTATGGCCTTGGATTATTTCTCCCCCCTAAAGTGTAACTGCAGGCTTCTAAACTTGGAGATGCACTGCTAGAAACACGCTGGCTTCCTTTTTTTTTTCCACCCATCATTGTCACACAGAACAGATGCACTGTGGGTTCACAGCTTTGCACTTTCTTATGAAGCCTAGCTTGGGGTATATACATAGGTTATAGGCTACCCCCACTTCCATGCCACTCCTTCCTTTCAGGAGGTTTTACTAAGCTAAATAAAACCTTGCCCTATGCAGACTGTGGCCTATAGAAACCTATCACATTCTTTGTTACCTTCTTCCATGGGAGAAGGTAATCCTGCATTTGGAAAATATGTGCAATAATGATTACATGCAGCGGTTATTCTCTTGTGCATTTTGATAAATAATGACAACTGCAACAGTCCCAAATTTAGCAGTGGTGATTCAGAACCCAGATTTACCTTCCTACTATGCGAAGTGCCTGAATTGACCCTTGTCTAATATTTTCAGAGTTGTTCACTGACTCTCTCTCCTCTCTGTGCAGAGATGCAGATGAGACCAAAGAATGGATTGAGGAGAAGAACCAGGCTCTAAACACTGACAGCTACGGACACGATCTGGCCAGCGTTCAAGCACTGCAGCGAAAGCACGAGGGATTCGAGAGAGACCTTGCCGCTTTGGGAGACAAGGTGAGGGTGCAGTTCCTCCTCCAGGACTTCTGCTAATTACAAAGGAGGAAAGTCTGTGTTGGTTATCGTAACCGCCTTGCAAGCCTTTTTGGTCTTCTTTTTTATATGTATAGAAAAATGGCAGATATTTGCTACGGGCTATATATTATTCAGTTTCAATATTTCTGAGCCCCAGCTATATCTAGACTCTAGCGTAGAAGAATCTAGAACTTTAGATCTAAATGGCAGATAAATGGCTTGATGCAATCGTTTACTCCGATATCAGAGTAAGGTGGAAGATTCAGTCACATAAAAGCATTGCCAATGAATGCAATTTATCTTTTGACATTTTTTTGTTCCGCTATTCAATTCGTATCACAGGAGCAGGTGATTTGTGAGCTGGTGTCCTTGATTTCTGAAGATGGTACACCAGTGAGTCTGGCTGGCAGCCGGTTTCTAGGTATTTGTCAAATCACCACAACCCACTTCTTTCCTTAGGTAAATTCCCTGGGAGAGACTGCAGAGCGACTGATCCAGTCACATCCAGAATCTGCTGAGGACATCCAGGAGAAGTGCACAGAGCTGAACCAAGCTTGGAACAGCCTTGGCAAAAGGGCTGACAAACGTAAAGATAAGCTAGGAGATTCTCATGACCTGCAGCGCTTCCTGAGTGACTTCAGGTAAAACATAGTTGTTTTCTAACTCTGTATTGTGAACCGAGCCTAAGACACGAGGAGGTATGTCCCAGGTCCCTTCGCCAATGTTGTTAAAATTTCCCTTCGTTTAAACAGCTGAGATGTTATTGCAGAAAGTTTGGAGTTGAGACGATACCATTTATTGCCTAACTTAAAGGAGAACTATGAGGTGAGCGATTTTTAACTCATCCCTTGGAGGAACAGACAAAGGGAGGGAGCGGGCACAGCTGGCTCTGTCTCTAGATAGGCAGAGCCAGTTGTCAATCACGCAGCTGGGTGGATCTCGACAGTAATGTCGGGATCCGTCCCGGCTGCAGCGGTCTCAGTATATCACGAGCTGTAGCTGGCAGTATACTGAGCTTTGGGTCACGGGAGGACGCTAGTTTTATCTACTCCCGTGACCCTTAGGAGAACTATGGGGAAAAACACTTACCCTATAGTTCTTCTTTTAAGTTATTGAAGATGCGCACTGATTAAAAAAGAGCAAGCTTTCAGGATCTTTACTTCTATCTTCAGGCTTTATACAATTCATCATAAGTATATTCAGTATTGCTAAGGTCCTGAAACACCTATATGTTCTTGCAAGGTTACATAAACCTGCTTGGTTATTTAGCATTTTTTACCTTTTTGTATATGTAAAGCAAATCTGTCATGAGAGGCCTTGATCACTATTACTCTCATCCTCCTCCTAAAAATACTAGTTGTCTTTGTCTTCTGTACTCTGTGTCACAGACCCAGAACAAGCATGCAGCAAATGAAGTTAGGTTGAACTGATCTGCATACTTGGGCTGGGTCAGCGATGAAAAATGCATTGAAGCCAAAGGGTCCGCATGAATTCCAGACCGCTAGCATTTCCAGAAGGAGATCAGCAATGGCCGTCTTATTTCCCACATCACACATTTCCTTTTAATAGTTCTGAGAACTCCGCGCAGTTAAATGATGGTGATTAATGTGCAGCCTGTACAATTTGTGAGCTTGATTTGTCTTTCAGGGACCTAATGTCCTGGATCAATGGAATCCGTGGCTTGGTATCATCTGATGAGCTTGCCAAAGATGTCACTGGAGCCGAAGCCCTGTTGGAGAGACACCAGGTTAGCTGCGGGAGGTCTGCTTTTCCCAGGAGTAATGATGCAGCTGATTGACGCGCTCTGATGGCTTTTTTTTTCTTTCTGCCCCCTTAGGAGCACCGCACAGAGATTGACGCCAGAGTTGGCACTTTCCAGGCCTTTGAGCAGTTTGGGCAGCAGCTGCTGGCTCGCGGGCATTACGCCAGCCCTGAAATCAAGGAAAAGCTGGACATACTAGATCTGGAACGTGCCAGTTTGGAAAAAGCCTGGGTGCAGCGCAGGATGATGCTGGATCAGTGCTTGGAACTGCAGGTAATCTTTTAATTTCACCCCAAAAACCAGCTGCTTGCATGGATAACCTTTTCAATGTCCATTCATGTGTATTGTGTCATTCTTCTGTAGCTCTTCAATAGAGACTGCGAGCAAGCTGAAAACTGGATGGCTGCCCGTGAGGCTTTCCTTAACAGCGAAGACAAAGGGGACTCATTGGACAGCGTTGAGGCTCTCATCAAGAAACACGAGGACTTCGATAAAGCTATTAATGTACAGGTGAGGACGATACTACAAGCATGAATGAGGATATTACTGAATTGATACTTGGGGCTCCGTATCGGACAATCTGTGACTTTAGCCACTCCTATTGTTTGACTTCTTGCTCGTTTGCTGTCGGCTCTAGGTTCTCATAAAGAAAACTAGAGCAAATACATGAAACCTCTTGATAACAAAGGTGTAAGCAGTAAATGTATGTGTACTCGCATGGCTATATGGTAACTGAAAAGAAGTTATAAAGGCTGCCCTCAAAGTATCTACATACATTGGATGGTGGTCCGTTATGGAAGAATGAGCCAACTGCGAAAAGCTCTTAAGGTGCCCATACACTGCACGATTATCGTACGAGAATAGCGGTGAAATCCCGCGATCGTGCAGTGTATGGAAGGCGTGCGACCGCTTCTACTGTACGGTTGCACGACCTTTGTATATCGAGCATGTTGGAAAACCAGCCGAGAATCGTACGATTTTGGGCTGGTTTTTAGCATGATCGAGAGATAACTGCCGAAAGGGCTGGTGTGCGCAAGCGGGCACTGCCCGTTCAGCATTGTAGTCATCGGAAGTCCGCCCCTCAGGGGGGGCGGGCTTGCGATGATCGCAAGTACGATCTGCCTCTCCAAGATGGGCAGATCGTACGTTTTTTTAAAAATTACTTTACAACCCTTGCAAGACAAAAGTCTTGCGAGGGTTGTAAAGTGTATGGCCACCTTTAAACATACAAGTGGATAAAGCCTCATGTTTAGGCATATGTAGGAAGAACCCATGGCTTATGCATCATCAATGATCTGGATAAACAATACCCGGTCGATTTTGATTCTTCTCCTGAGATGGCTGGTTCCAGGAGATATCTGGCAAGTTCCAGAGTGCTAGGTACACAGTTAGAGCCTGATTGACTAACTTAATTTTATGTCTGTGGTCACCTTAAGTACAACTATGACACTGGCGTCGCAAAGCATTATGGGTTTTCTCAAGAAACTCCACAGCATTAGCTCTTTCCATTTAGTCTGTCTCTCACTGAGACTAGCCCAGCTACACAGAGGAGGGAGGGTGTTGGGCTGTGTGTTTTGATCTGAGAATTGGCTATCATACCTTGTAAACGGGCTTTGTTCAGCAAAGCAGTTATGATTAGTTTGGTAAACCTCTAAGAAGGAATCTAGAGCTGCACAAGTTGGATGGAAATATGAAATTGTCATATGCAATATATTATATATATTCTTGAGATACACTGCCTGGCAAAAAATAAGTCGCCAACTAGATTTAGCTAAGCAAATAGGTCAGAGCCTTCCATTGGATAATAGGTCTAGGTTCAGCAACCAAAAAATTAGATCCGCTGCCTACCTGAATATACTGAATTACCCATTTTTTTCCACCAATGGATTTTTTTCTTCCCTGATGGCACATTGGGCATATTTCTAGATGACAATGTCAGGATTCATTGGGCTCAGATTGTGATCGAGTGGTTCAGAGACCATGAGACATCATTGCCACACATGGATTGGCCACCACAGAGTCCAGACCTTAACCCCACTGAGAATTTTTGTGATGTTCTGAAGAAGACTTTACGCAGTGGTCTGACGCTCCCATCATCACTACAAGATCTTGGTGAAAACCTAAGCAACTCTGGATGGAAATAAATGTGACATTGTATATACTTATCGAACCCATGCCACGGCAAATGCGTGCTGTAATTAAAATCTAAAGGCGGTCCAATTAAATATTACTGTGCGATTTATTTTATTTTGGCCAAGCAGTGTATTTATTTATTGACTTTTAGTCATCAACATGAAAATTAAAATAAAATGCAACATTACTATAAATTCTCTCAAAATCTGTTTGCTAAAGCTGCCTTGACCAGGTAAACCTCTGTCTTCTATATCAAAGGGAACTGAAAGATGAAAATGCCAGTTCCAGTGTTAAAAACCAATGGAAAGTTTGCATACATTTGGCTTTAATGGTGTGTCGATGAAGATAATTGGAGGAAGCAGTGTGTAGCAATGTGGACAGCTGTAGTGTTTGCAAACTGTGTGTCTGCTGGTCACTAACAGTCCTTCCCTCTCTAACAGGAAGAGAAGATCGCAGCTTTACAGGGTTTCGCTGACCAGTTAATAACCGCCGACCACTATGCCAAGGGAGACATTGCCACTCGCCGTAATGAAGTACTAGACAGGTAAGGGTTATAAAGAAAGTTTGAGAAACGAGTAGCTTATTGCTAGTACACTGGATTTGATTTAATATATAGTAAAGGATTACTAAAGGCTTGGTGTCTTTTACCTTAATACATTCTCTGTATTAAGGGGGGGGGGGGGAAAACTTCAAACTT